GATGAACCATATGTTTCGTGCATCGTCTTATATCTGATTCACATTTTCCATAGAAAGCAGCATCTGTTGGAGGCGTCCTGATTAAAGATTTAGACGGACACCTGCCTGCTGATTGGGAACATTTTCCACTGACAGATACACCTGGCTGAGAGCACACTGATGCTTTTAAGATTTCAAGCCTTTTCTCTGTCATTATTTCTCCATCTGGAAAAACAGCCTTTGTTTGTGTCGTTCATTCAGGGTTTTTTGGCTAACGTGCTAATGCTCCTAACAGCTTTGTGTCTGCTCTGCCTTTTAGTCTCATGTTTTCTGTATTTTGTTTTTTTCTGTTGTTCTGCAGTCGCTTTCTTGGCTGTCCCGCTGCTTCGTCCTGCTCTCGTTGTGTTTCAGCCCGTCTGGCTCGAATGCTAATGTTCCTACCAGCTCTCGGCTCTGATCTGTGTGAATTAATGCAAGAAAAGAAGAATGGTGCTTTGTTATGGTCTGTTCCTGTTCACCTCCTGGTTTCCATCATGGTTGTTTAGCTCTTATCACACTGGCAGATATTTGCTGTTTTTCCAGAAGTGAAGATAAGATGCAGGATCTTGGCATCAGGTTGTTTTTTACAGAAGGTTAACCAAGGACGGACCGAGAGAGAGAGAGAGAGAGAGAGAGAGAGAGAGAGCGAGTTCTCACATTATAAGTCAGTGTGAACAGCAGAGGAGGATTGTGGGAGTCTTGTGAGAAATCACAGGAGAGGTGTGAATATTCAAAAAGTTTGGTTCAACTCACTTTACTCAAACTTTACATCACTTGTAAAGCTCTCATAGGTTTTACTAGAATTTCTTTGATAGGGTCAAACCAGGAAGGGTTCACTCACTAGGGGTCACCAGAGCTTCCTGGGGGGGTCGCAAGGTGGAAGAAAACGCAGTTCAAACAACCAAAGAGGTAATGGAAGCGTATGAAGCCTATTAAGTCTGTCTGATTGTTAGAAATGATAAAAATACAGTTAGATTTTCAAAATAAAGCTCGTGTGGTTAACATTGTGTGTTGGTTAGATCGAGGCAGTGCTGCAGGGTTCTCACAACCCTTCACTCTGACTGCTAAGAGCTATCTAAACTAAACTGTGGCTGTGATGAGGAAGAACCCTCGATGTTCTCTGAGCAGTGGGTTAAATGGAGGTTAGACCTCCACAAGATCACTGATTTCAAGGCGAGAAGATGCCTCAAACACACACAGACACCCACAGACACACACAGTCACAACTTCACCGCCTCTCACAGAGTACTGACGAACGACAGAAACACCATTCATGTTTGATTCATTAAGGGGAAGGGAAGAGTGGCTGCCCTCAAGAAGATTACGATCCCCAGGATGGAACTGGCTGACGCCGTATCGGCCTCTGGAGTGGATAAAGTACTCCGAACAGAGTTAAAGCTGGAGCTGAAGTACACAGCAAACACACACACACAAGGCTCCACACATTTGTTGCTAACAGGATCTCCATTATCAGGGAGGCCACAGAGATGACCTCAGTGGAGAATCCTGCTGCTGCTGCCTCTAGGGGGCAGAATCGGGGATGGATCAGATTCACTGTAGAGGTCAGACAGAGACGTTTTTATTAGTTCTAGTCTCGACTGAGTCCAGTAATATATGTGTTTTTATTTCAAGTAACTTCCTCTTACAGTCGTAGACCTGGCTGCCAAAACTCATCAGCAAACGCATTCTTCTTTTGTCCCATTTGGTTAAACCAATAACCAGAACTGTTAGAGGATTATCTCCAACACACACTCATATATTCTGATGCTGTAAGGATGATGTCATTATTAATGAAGCTCCAGTCTTCCAGTCTTGACTTGCCAAGTGTGTTCACACTCCTCACACACCTACCTGAGTGTGTGTGTGTGTGTGTGTGTGTGTGTGTAACTGACTTCCTTTAACACTAGCAGATTGAAATCACCTGTTCATTGTCACACTCCCACACTCCAGCTGTTTGTCTTTATGTTCATCCCGGAGACTGAAATATTCATAAATAGTAAATAAGACATAAACAGTTGTATTTTCAGCACACACACACTCTCTTTCTCCGTTAACAGCAGACTAATTACTGCATTTATTCCCAATGAATCTACCAACGAAGCAGAAAACTAGTTCAGAAAGTCAGTTCAGACTCTGGGGATTTAGTTCCTTCAGCTCTATTTTGAATTAAAGTTCATTTCTCACTGAATGTAAGTGGTTTTGACGGATTATGAATCCATAAGCAGCTGGATTAACGCTTTATTATCATAAGACGAATTGGCCGTCGGAGTGGACAGAGAGGTTGAATGAGGGGGCGACCGGCGAGAGTCTGAAGTCATTAATGTAACGCATTGATCTCAGTGTGAAATGGAGGGGATACGAACCAAGCAGAGGAAGTCCTACTGTTGACTCAAATCTAACTCCAAACATCTGCTGGGCTCATATTTCTGCTCATTTTCCTGCTGTCAGGGCTTGTTAGTGTGTTTGCTGCCGTACGAGGTGATTTCTGGGCTCCATACACGAGGATGGAGAAGCAGTCCGGATCAGCCAGATTTCCACAACCAGTGAACTGTGTTTAAGTGTCTCTGGCTGCGGTCGAACACTCACACAAATGACGTCTTCTGTCCTTTACTAAACACTTTTCCGTGACCTCTGTGGGAAACCTAAACTGCCCCACAGCGGCAAACCTCAACTACAGTTTCACATCAAAACTGAGATCTATTCATCATCTACTCTATTGTACAATGTTAAAAAGAACTGTTCTGGCAGCTGGAGCACTAAATAACAAAATACAGTTAAACAAAATAAAATCACTCGTAAAAATACAGTAATTTTCTATAATTAAAATAGTTTTTAACTTTAATTTTATATAAAATCTTGTTTAATTTTTTGTCTGTAATGTTTAAAGATATTTACACTATAAAACAATGAGCTATAAATACAGGTGAACACAAATAATCAGGTTTACATTTACAGCAGAGTGCTGTTTGGATTTTTCCTATTTTAATCTGAATGTTAAAAGTTATAGAACTGTAATAAAAGTCATTATGTGTAAAATTACAGTAATTATTTATTATATATATATTATATATTTATTCAATGTTTTTTTATTTGCGAAAACTTCCATAAGTATACAAGATATCTGTCAGTTAACAAACAAATCCATGTAAAATTACAGAGCAAATACCTCTTTTTACTGTTAATTATCACAACTTTTATGTTATTTACATCTACTAACAGTATTAAACTTGAATTTAACAGTTTAATCTATTAAACAGTAAATATCTGAGAAAACTTGAAGATTTGCAGATGTATTTTAATCTTTCTATGTAAAAAAAAAGACATTTTATGTAAATAAGCAGTAATTTTATTTGCAGTAACAGATTTTTCACATTATTTTACATTAGACGTGTGAATTCAGAATGTTTTTGTAGTTTTATTAATATGTCCATGTAGAGAAAAACTCTTTCTTAACTTTCTTACATCGTCTGCTTGAAGCCTTTCTGACTTTACACACACTAACATCAGTGTTATTGTTGAATTAGTGTCTTTGACCACTTAATATCCGCTGTGGGACCATGAGTCCACCCCGTCCTTGTCGTTGACTCAGCAGCTTCATTTCCTTCCCTTCACTTTCTCTCTCCCACTGACTCAGCAGGTAAAACTCGGAGCTTCCTGTCAGTCGTCCTTTGGACCCCACTGCCGCTCCGACTTCCTGTTTGACACTTTGTAACTCGCACTGGTTGCTTCTCTCACTGTTATTTAGGGTTATTTTAAATAAGTCTCTCACTGTTATTTAGGGTTATTTTAAATAAGTCTCTCACTGTTATTTAGGGTTATTTTAAATAAGTCTCTCACTGTTATTTAGGGTTATTTTAAATAAGTCTCTCACTGTTATTTAGGGTTATTTTAAATAAGTCTCTCACTGTTATTTAGGGTTATTCAGAGTCTTTCTTTCAGTTGTTTCTGGATACCTGCAGTTGTTCCTCCTCTTCCTGTATAACTGCTGTAATAACTGTTAATCTGTAAAGGACTGCAGAGAGCTCATAAACATTCACTTGTCTGTGTGTATTTCTCTCTGATTAAACACCATCTGCCGGGGGTGATGGGGAGGGTAGACCCCTCGTTAGAGACCTCGTTAGGGACTCGGTTAGAAAGTGCCAGAGCAATCTGTCCATGAGGCTCAGCCATGTGAAAAAGATCTTCCAGTTTGTGTGTGTACGACACAACGGGAGCGCCGGGAGAGTTCCCGGTGGTCTGGCGAGCTGATTGGCTCAGAGCGTCAGCCAGTGTTAGATATGAAATGTGTCAATCAAACAACACGAGGCAGCGATCGGTCGCACGCACATACACATCAGCGTTCAGTGAGAGCACGTGGACCAGCAGTGTGGATAAGAGAGGGAAGAGAGCAGGTAGAGCTACATGCTGCAGAGACCCCCCCCGAGCGAGGCAGTGGGGTGCTCATGGTTAGGACCAACTCCCACTACTATCTACCAGAGGCATCCTACAGGACTCTGTCACAGCGCTGTTCCACACTAACTGAACAAACCTTTGGCGACACGTTTGCTAACCTCGCTTTAGTGTACGGCCCACGTATGTCTCATATATATACTCACTGGTGTGATCTCTGCAGTTATCAGAACTTAGTGATAATCAATATAAGTCCATCAGAGCTCTGAGGTCCAAAACAAACACTCAATAATGATATTTTTAATACTCTTCCTCTGACGGTGGGAGGAATGTGAGACGTCTCCACGTGGAGCTGTATTTCTAGTGTTTGTCTCTCTGGTCAGATAAATGAATAAATGTATTTATCACAGTGCTGCCGCCGCCGCCTGTGTCCACACAGCAAATACACTATAGTGTCAGAACCGCTCCCATAGATACACAGGGTCATAAAGAGGGGCGAGTCCGGCTCTTCTCTAAACACCAAAACCCAGTCAGACAAACGTATCTGAAGAAACAGAGACAGCCAGAGGTCTTCTAATCTTTACGACTGAACC